GCAAGGAAATGGGTCATGCAGATGCATTGAGTAGGCTGCCATTGCCTACTGTGGAGCCTGATCCCGCTCCTGCTGTACACATATTGTCCATTCAGGAGTTGCCTGAGTGTCCCCTCAATGCTAGGGATGTGGCTGCTGAAACTGCCACTGACCACACGCTCAAACGCGTGCTGTCATGGGTCCTGTCTGGTTGGCCTGAAAGGTGCCCTGCAGAGGATTTTCAACATTTCTGGATTAAGAGGCACGAGTTGTCCACTTTCAATGGCTGCCTCCTTTGGGGTTCAAGAGTTGTGATTCTGGCCTCATTGAGGGCTAGAATCTTGGCTTCATTACATGAGGGCCATCCAGGAATCGTTAGGATGAAGGCACTTGCGCGCAGCCATCTGTGGTGGCCTGGCATTGATCGGGCCATCGAGGCCCAGGTGCACGGGTGTCATACATGCCAGCAGTCCAGGCCGGAAATGCCCCAGGCCCCTGTACACAGGTGGGAGGAAACGCACACTCCATGGTCTAGAATACATGTAGATTACGCTGGGCCCTTTCAGAGACAATTCTTCCTGGTTGTTGTTGACAGCCATTCCAAATGCCTGGAGGTCGTGCCTGTGTCTTCTACCACAGCTGCCAAGACCATTCAAGTGTTGAGAAACATTTTTGCTGCACACGGGTTGCCAGATGTTCTGGTGTCAGATAACGGTCCTCAATTTACTTCTACTGAGTTTCAGGGATTTCTACAGGCCAACATGATCCGCCATGCTGCTTCGGCTCCCTTCCACCCTTCCACCAACGGTCTGGCTGAACGGATGGTCCGCGTCACCAAGGACGCCCTCAAGAAGCTGACTTACAGCAATTGGCATCACAGGTTGGCTGACTTTCTTCTGGCACATCGTACTACTCCGTGCACTGCCACAGGTAAGTGCCCGGCCGAACTCCGTTGGGGTCGTCGGCTCGTGACTAAATTGGACAGGCTGCATCCGGAGCGTGTAGCATCACAGGTGTCTCAGCCACACCCACCATGGGTCATGCATGAAGGCGATCCTGTCTGGGCCAGGAACTACGGGCCTGGACATCTCTCGGTCCCGGCGGTGGTCTGCAAGGTCTCGGGGCCACTGTCCTACGAGGTGTCCCTGGAAGACGGCTGTGTTCTTCGCCGCCACATTGATCAATTACGTGTGAGGCGGGACTCACCTGGGGTTCCTCCTCAGTCTCCTCTAGGGGGGGAGGAGGAATGGGGAATGCATTCTGAGAATCAGAATCTGCTGCCAACAATGGTTGGGGGGAACGACACGGGTACCCAACACCCTAGTTCCACAGGTGATTCAGGTAGCAATTCAAGGGAACGGGGGCACACAGACACCCCCACACACACTCCAGCCTGGGAGTCCCACCGGAGGTATACTAACTATCCACACCTCACGAACAATACTCCAGATACGGAGAATCACTGGGAGCATACTCACAACTCACAACATGCAAGAGAGCAGGCAAAACAGAGGGGAAACATCCTTTGCTGAAATGGCTCATAGAAGGATGTCCCCATGCATAAGGGATAATAGGGAGGCATCCCTAAACCCTAACACTACAGGAAGGA